CGATTGGCTATTGAATATCATGATGCGAACATCGGACGCCTTGATAACGACCCCCTCCCCCTCCCTGATTTCTCAATTATGACCGCCCCCCGCGGCTACCTCTTTGGAATACTCGAAATTTTTAAAAAGTTTTGAGTTCAAAAAACTTGCATAACACATAAAGCCACACTAAAAACTAAGAATTCCAAAGCTCCAAAACACGATTATTGTTATAACTAAACGAGTACAAGAACTAAGCGAATGTTCCTTAAAACAAGAAAGATTTGAATTCCTGAGTGCGAAGTGGTTTTTCGTAAAGAGAAATGCGTGACCCGTCTGCAAATCACTTTGAAATACAATACGGAAGTACAAAAAATGCAACAATCTGCAAAAGATTTGCTTTGTCTGCCTGCCATCATATCATTTATAACTAATTCATGTAACTCTAAACAAAAACCATGGAAATGAAGGAAATTTAGATATGGTATAATTGAAGGGATGTAAACTTTGGCGATTAACTCACAAGGGAAGGATGATCGGTTGAAGTAGCCATTTGGAATGAGCTGTATATTAGGAAACCGTCCTTGGTAGGCAAACTCAAAACTACTTTCGCTAAGTGCCGAGCGCTTTTGTGGGGGGAGTTACAAAGCCATTTTCCTCCGGCGCAGGCGGCGCACCCAGTGATGGGCGAGGCGCTAGAAGAATGCAGCAGTGTGACGGTGACGCAGTGGCAAGCAGAGGTGCGATGGGGGGAGCCGGGCTTACCGAAAGTGAAGGTGTAGTGTCGGACACTCACCTCAAAAACGTCGACGGGGGGCGGGGAGGGAGGTGCGGGGGGGGGGGGGTAGAACGGACGAACAGAGCTATCCTTCTAGGTCGAACTGTGACCCAACGGCCCTCTTTAGGGCCACAGATACGATGAATATTAAAAATATTTATAAATTTTATTTATAAATATTTAAAATAGACGTGATTAGTAAATGGTGCATTTGGGAGTAAAAGTTTTTTGGACTGTACGGGTTTTATTAAGTAAATTTTCTCATAACTCAGATAATCGCCAGAAGCAGGCGGTCCGCAAACCCGCGCTTTTCTGCAGGCGGTCAGCAGAATTTTGGGGCGTGGCCAAACCTTCAGCGGGCGGCACTTCCTTTACGGTCGCATATTCTGCCAGCGGGCAGCAATACAGCATTTTTTGCAAGCGCTCGGCAAATAATTTCTTTCAGCGAGCGCTGGCCAAACTTTCAGCAAGCGCTCGGACTCTTTTTAGGCATTTTCGGGCGTACGTCGAGCGCAGGTAAGACTATGTGTGGCAGAGGTGTCACCGTTGGTTTAATTACTCAAGTTTGAGGTACTTTCTCCCAGCGGAAAGTACCTGGGGGCCCCCGAAATTTTTGCATATTCTCGCGGAAAGTCCGCGAGAATGCGGCCACTGCGCCGCAGTTAATCCATAAAGAAACTGCGATTGTTCTTCAAGCATTTGTCTTCAATTTCGCCAACTTTCTTCCAAATTTCTGCAAGCGGGCGGCAAAAAATCAACGAACTATTTTTCCGGTGCGCGCTTACCCAAAATTCGCATGGCCGCCTGCCCCCGGCGGTTATCTGAGAACATGCTGCGAAGGAAGTAGGTCGATCTAGGCAGTTTCCACTGTTATAAATCTGTTGTTTGAAGATGTCAGCAGTTGCGACTTTATAGGTTTTGAAGAATAAATGGTGCTCTATCAGATAGTGAAAAAATCGAGTTGATTTGAGAGATAGTCGCCGAAAACCAGAATTCTAAAAAAATACGCCATTTTAGCGTGTTTAGTGACAGCTGACAGTTAAACTCATATAAATCTTGAATGTGAAAGTGTGTGATGTTGCGACTTCATAGGTTTTAAAGAGTAAGATTTGCCTTTTCAGGATATACTTTAGCCGCTTCAATCCAATGAAACACCTCCGAGATCCAGAGTCTTGAAAAAGCAGGTAAAAAAGCGCTTTTTGAATTTTAACAGCTCATAACCTCTTCAGAACTGGATGAATCATGTTGCGACTTTATAGGTTAGATTCTTCTCATCAAGGGCTTTCAGATGATGTATAATATGCGGGGGTTTAGAGCCTCCTAAGAATTATGCCCGTGGGGGGAGCCTTTTCATACTAAAGTCTCCCCCTAGCCCACTTTAATGTATTGGAGGGGGGAGACTTTGGTATGAAAAGGCTCCCCCCACGGGCATAATTCGTAGAAGGCTCTAAACCCCCGCATATTATATATCATCTGAAAGCTCTTGATGAGAAGAATCTAACCTATAAAGTCGCAACATGATTCATGCAGTTCTGAAGAAGTTATGAGCTGTTGAAATTCAAAAAGCGCTTTTTTACCTGCTTCTTCAAGACTCTGGATCTCGGCATTGTTTCAGTGAATCGGTACGGCTAAAATACATCCTGATAAGGCAAACCTTACTCTTTAAAACCTATGAAGTTGCAACATCACACACTTTCACATTCAAGATTTATATGAGTTTAACTGTCAGCTGTCACTAGACACGCTAAAATGGCGTACTTTTTTAAAATTCTGGTTTTCGGCGACTATCTCTCAAATCAAATCGATTTCTTTTTCACTATCTGATAGAGCACCATTAATTCTTCATAACCTATAAAGTCGCAACTGCTGACATCTTCAAACAACAGATTCATAACAGTGGAAATTTCGCATGATTTTTCACTATTTAAATATTCAGAATTCTGATTCTCGGCCGTTACTGCCTAGATCGATTTACTTCCTTTGCAGTATGTTATGACAAAATTTGCTTGATAAAATCCGTACAGTTTGGCCAAGTTTTACTTTCAAATACACCATTTACTGAGCACGTTTATTTCAAATATATATGCCGCCGTATACATAAATATATGCTTTCAATAATCTTTTTGCGTTTGTTTTGTTTGTTTTCCTTCTTTATCGTCCAGCGAAAAATTTTTTATTCCAAAAGTGAAGGTGGTCACCCTGTACCAGCTAAAAAGTGAAGGTAGGGGGAGAATCGGCTCCCACTATCGCACTTCTGGTGGCAAGACAGCGGGCTACGAAGCAGATGGTCGAGAGTTCGAGTCCTGCTGATGCTGTTTTGTTTTGCAGTTCTGTAAAAAATCTATTGGGTAACAGTAAACGAAAAATACTCATTTTTAGGCAGCTAAAACAAGCTATTTACTGGTAAGAAGTCACTATTTCTGCAATAAGCTATAATCTTCTACAATATGTAAATTTGTGGAGGTTCCGATGTCACAACAAGGGATTCAAATGACATATTAAAATGTATGGAATACAACCACAAAATGGCTCAAAGCAGAAGAGCTTCTCGCAGCGCGCGCACTTGCAAAATTAGAATCGATTCACATCCCATGTATTGGCTCTCGATCTGAACTTTACCTTGCATCATAGGGATTCCATCCTCAAGATCTTATCGCTCATTCACAACAGTTTTGGTCACCGCAATTCAAAAAATTCCTTTCATACTCATGGCATGCAGCCGGATGCGAGTCTCCTATTCAGTACCGTTTTTCACCGACTTTGATAGGCAATTGTGAAGCTGCTATTGTCATCGTTTATATTTTATCCGATGTGCGCGCTGCGAGAAGCTCTACTGCTTTGAGCATTTTGTGGTTGTATTCCATACATTTTAATATGTCATTTGAATCCCTTGTTGTGACATCAGAACCTCCGCAAATTTACATATCGTAGAAGATTATAGCTTATCGCAGAAATAGTGACTTTTTTCCAGTAAATAGCTTGTTTTAGCTGCCTAAAAATGAGTACATTTACTGTCACCCAATAGAACTGCAAAACAAAACATCGTCAACAGGACTCGAACTCTCGACCATCTGCTTCGTAGTCCGCTGTCTTGCCACTGCGTCACCGCCACAGTGCTGCGTTGTTCTAGCGCCTCGCTCATGACTGGGTGCGCCGGCTGCGCCGGAGGAAAATGGCTTTGTAACTCCCTCCATGAAACCGCTCGGCACTTAGCGAGAGTAGTTTTGAGTTTGCCTTACCGAGGACGGTTTCCTAATGCACAGCTCATTCCAAATGGCCACTTCGACCGATCATCCTTCCCTTGTCAGCACTCGTTGGTCTAACTTCCTAGACTTAGTTGTCGGTAAAATAAAAAAGAATTCTGCATCGGCTACTACTGCTTCAACTGTTGCATCTTTCCTTTACAGAATTTGCAAGTACGTCTTTAAAACAATCTGTACATCAATTCCATCAATGTTGCTTCTAAAGGCCAGACTGAGCTAGTGTCTTTTCCGTGTTAGTTAAATAGAAGGATTTGTTAGGGGCAATGACCAACGATTTTTCTACAGCTGTTCTATTGCATTGTAATGGTTATGCCTGTGATTCATTCTTATGAAGAAATTTGTATTTAGGGAGGGATATCAAAACTCAGCAATTAAAACTTTCTTGGCTCTGTATTCTGCCACCAAACGCAGGATTCGGACAAAATCTCGATTCACATTTTTTGTCCGGGCCTTCCCTTGATTTCTGAAAAAAAAACCTGAATCCGTCAAAAACTAATCCAATCCACTTTTTTAAACTGATTTTTGAGTTTGAAGGTAACGATTGACTGAAGAGGCATTGCAGTTTATTTTTTAGCTAGATCCTTGCATGTCTGACGACGGTCCCGCTCTAAGTGCGACTCAAGACATCTTATGTCCATCCACTTAAAGTCGTAGGTTTGCTTAAAATGTTGTCTCCGTACACGACCCAAATCTCTCTGGCTGCATCTGCAGCTTTTACGCCTTTTTGTATGCAAAAGATGATAGATGTGAAAATGCTTGTTTTCGTTTTCCGGGCTTCATCTTCAGACGCTGATTGTCTAATGAGGATTAGGTTTTCTCAATAAAACTATATTTTTTAAAAAGCATGATCAGATCTTTCTTTTTATATACGCATCTTCTTGTACCTCGGCCGCCTTTCGGAGAAGTGGGGATGAAAATGAAAACACTACAACTTATGGAACGACCAATTTTTGTTTTAAATTCAAAAGCTCCCATTTCAGGCTCCTATTTTGCCAAGAAATCAAACTTTTCTGTGGTATTCCTTCGTGGTTGGGCAGATTATTCTTTTCGATTGCCTAAAAGCTACCGCACTCGAGACAACGATGCTATACATGTCAGGAATTTTTTCAAACAAGTATCGGCAATGATTCAACTTTGATTGAAGATGTGGTTGGTGGAACTGATTGCTCCTAATGCACCTCTGGCACCAGTGTGCTGGTTGCTATGGAGACGTGCAAGGGATATCACGAGCATACAGCACTTTACTGTATGTTGTAGAGAAGCGATCAAAGATGCAGCATGTCCTCAGATACTCATCTACAAAAGGGTAGGCTTTTTCGTATAATGGCAACTTGTTTTGCTTTTATGACAGCGAATTTATTGCCGTTGTTCATTATAAAGAGACACCATCAGGCATACTTTGCAATTTTGACAAAAAGTTTGGTTAGAAAAATCGTTTCTTTACGACTTCATTGTGATAGTACTTCAACAACGGTTAGGCTCGAAATAAGGGAAGCCGGCCGTAACAATAGGCGCAAAAAACGTGAAGCAAAAAAAACTACGTTTTTTCTTTTTGTTGCGTCTAGATAACTAAGCTATTTGTTGCGTCTAGATAACTAAGCTGCAAACAAAATAAGAGGATAAGCTGCCACGGGTCACTTTATCCATCCCATAATTGAGCACTCAAGCAGGATTCAGTGAACCCCTTCATTATTCTCTCTCTCTCTCTCTGTCGACTACTTATTGCTCCAATCGCACGAGAGACGCTTAAAAAACTCCATGCAAAGACTTCTAAACATGTTTGATCGTCTGGTTAGCGGTTTTTCTGTTAATCTGGTTTCTTTCCTCCTGGCATTCGGACCTAATCGTAGATGTAGCAAGAGCACATGGTAATAACTGTATCTTATCTGCCCATAACAACATCGTTTTTGGCAAAAGCCTCACCACATTTACACGTGACGTCTTCGAGTAAGCATCCTTCCCTGCGTTTTGATGTGATGAGATGTCATCAGCGAAGCGAAAGTAGCGCCCAAATTTCAATGCGCTGAGCGACTTCCGTCATCTTCAGTGCTCGCTGCAATACCAATTTTAGTTTGGAAAAGGTAAGTTTAATCTCAATTACAGAATATGCTAGAAATCTATCTAGTCGTAATTTTTGGCGAATTAAGCTATTTTCCTTCAATTCTCCATTGCAGTTTATTTGAAACCAAATTTTTTTTTGAAATTTTTTTAAATTTTCATAGCGTATATTTGCTGATTTGCTGTTCATTAGCTGTGTATATACCTAACGGTTCTTTTCTAAATTGAGCGAAGAAGCCATTTGGCTCTTGGTCAATGAAATAGCTTATATATGAGGTAAATGAGCGTGACTTCTCTACAAAATATCAGTGTATGCGGAGGAGTTTACAATTTTTTGCTTACTTACACGAAAACTCCATCCAGTAGCTCGCAAAATGCTGCCTTACATAGAACACGTACCCCCCCCCCCCTTTCCTCACACGCACAACGATATTCGATACTGGCGTTGCGCTATCCGCTGCTGCCATGAAAAGCACCATCAATATGCACCTTTGTGTTGAATATTACGGAAGCAGTGCACACCTTCACGGCCTACGAATACAAGCTAATATAAATCAGAGCTTGCTTATCGATTTATTCAAGGGATTTCGCAATTGTTACGCTTGCCGCATTTGTCGTTGGCTTCAATTTTGATTCTTGAGATTGAAGAGATTTCTGTAGCGCAGCAGTATGCTCCATCGACAGTCATCGAAGGGTTCGACGCGCATAAACCTCAATTTGCGGCGGCGACCAAGGCGTGGTCGTGAGCAGCATTCCTTCAGTAGCACACGTCGTGACCTCTGTTTCTTTACATTACTACATATTTCGGGATTTACTACGGGCTCAACTTTCGTCTTAGTTTAGAGTGCGAATGAGGATCTCCATTCAAGCCAATAATGTTATGCGAATAGGCATTTTTTTGTCATACAAAATCGTCTCCAAGATTGCATAGGTCGATGGAATCTTGCAGAATGTGTGCTGCTGATCGTTAATTTGTGGTACAGTTCATCATATACCTTTACTGCTTGAAGCTCGATGACAGCTTTGATCTCACTGAAATAAAAAGCCTTCTTCGAATTTTGGGCGTAAGGCCTAAGGCATACTTCCCGTGATTCTGTCAAAGCGCTACTCAGCGCCTATATGCCAGATGTCTTCAAATTAACCGTGCGCTGGTTTTAAAAGCATAGACGCGTGGCTTTCGTAACTTGCCGCAAACGCATTGAGTCTGGCCCAAGCAAAGCAGTTACGACGAATTGTTGCAGTGCTGGATCGCGCAGCGACTGAAATCGCACGAGGTATGCCTTAGGACAAGACAGGAAATCATCTCTACTTTCGCGATGATACGATGACTTTGTGTCTGTTGTACCGTGCTAAATATTTTCATATCCAGCCTTCTCGCTTGGTTGTTCTTAGTCTAACTCTTCCTAATTTTTCAATCCCGTTAAAGTATAATACAGGGTGTCCCAAAAAAAGTATCGAACGTTTGATCGTTAATATCTCTCTTTTTAAGAAATCTTTTGCCTTGCTTCAGGTACCGTTTTGTAGAGCTGGCTTCAACTTAGATTTGAGTTATAGAGCGAATCATTCATCTCTCTTCCTGTAGGATTACGGTAGAAACTTGAAACATATGGTGTCAATGTGCAAAAAGCTGCCGTTTCAAAATTTTCTAAAAAAATGTGAAAACTTGTGTATTTGGGTTTTTATGGAAGCTGAGTTCAATACTCAAGTGTTCACAAGATTACTAAGCTTTCTAAACGGTGTAACCGCACTTTTTAGGAACATTGAAGAAATGGCCGCTACCTCTTACCTAGCATAACTCTTCAATGAAGCATCATAATAAATTGGGAACTTTACAGTTATAATCAGCAACTCTAATTAGCCTAGTGTAAAAGTTTTCAGGCTATTTTGTTTCCTTTTTGGGGCAAAATATGACCTTTTATTGCTTAAAACCCTCTTTGAAGTTTCTACCGTAATCCTACAGTAATGAAGAGGGATGGGTGTTTCGTTCTACACTGCAAATCTAAGTTGAAGCCAGCTCTACAAAAAGGTACCTAAAGCAAGGAAAAAGACTTCTTTAGAAGAGAGATATTAACGATCAAACTTTCGAAACATTTTTTTTGGGACGCCCTGTATAATGAAAAAGAAATGAAGACCAAACGAAGCGAAGGTAGTGAATGTTGCTTGCGAATTACCCCGCGTGTGACTCGTACAAAAAAAAAGTCTGGCAGCCACAATATTATTAACGATCAAACATTCGATACATTTTTTGGGACACCCTGTAGATAACCACTCCACTTGCTTGTAATCTGCAGTTTGCAAACTTTTCACTCGCGGATGGTTTGGAGTAATAGACTATTTTGTGCGGCAAAACGGTCTTGCTGGTATTTGATTTGACCTTTCCTTTGAAACGCCAAATGAAGAGCGCCAGAGTTTTTGTAAGGATTACTGCTGGTTCTACGGTTGTTCTTTTGCTTGTGTTGGCTGCCGTACGGTCGTTTAACGAAATGATAGCGTGTCGCCTTGAAGGAAGAACTGATTGTACGGCATAATCTCCGCCCTAAGCATGGGTAGGTAAGCATGGGTTATAAAGAGATCCAAACTGAAATTGCTGATAATATTCTTAATCCGTCGCGGCGGCAATGTGAAGCCCTTTGGTCTCAAAACGAAGCCTCGATTGGCATTGGCTTCCCAATCTGTACGGTGTCAACCATTACTGCTACTGCCTTCTTTAAGATCTTATTTTATCGCTTTTTTGCATCGCTTCGTAAGATTGTACGTCAGTTTGTGATTGTCTGTGGCTCTTTCTTGTCCATGTTGGTGCAAGCTTCAGCGCTTTTTCGTACTTTTGGGCTCTCAACTTCTTTGGCGCAATCATGGAGATGTTGGACGAGTTGTGTATAACGGTTTCTCATGGTAATCGGATATAGGAACAAATCGCAGTTTTGAGCGGGAGTTTAGAGGCATGCTTTCTCCAAAGCCACCAATTCAGCAGCCCATACCAAAGCTAAGCAAACCCTTTGAAAATTACTAGACAACGTTTCTTTACTTAATAGCTATCTGCAGCTTATCACATGTCAGGTTCGGCGGATTTTGATGCAAGTTTGATCAAAATATTTACGAATTTGCCATCGATCACATTTCCACGGTTTTTTTCCAACGTTTATGTTTTCAGTCTATTTTCAGACTTTCTGTCAATCAGCTCACGCAATTTTTCTATCTATCAGAAATTTTGAAGGCTCCTAGAACGTCATAAAACACTAAAAATGCACCATTTGGTGTTTATCTGACAATAAAAAATCGTACCTTCTCACGTAAACCCGTTTTGAGTAGTCGTAGAATAGCCTTTGCCAAACTCAATCGGCTCTACCTATTCCGTCATAGGTAGTACTTGAAAAGAAGGCAATCATCTGATTCCATATAAGTTGAAAATATAAAAGAGTTCATTAGGGTACCTTCTGTTGATGAGTCGCCTGTCCATGGTACTCTTCACCGTGTGTACTCCAGGCTAAGCGCGAATAAGGGGTTTCTGAACTCGTGATTACTATAAATGGTCCTTCTTGTCAATATAAATTCTGGCAATCCCTTGTTCATTCCGCTGTAGTTTTGATGTGAAACTCTACTTTGGATTTCGAGCGCAAGGATCAAAAAGAATTGGCTTATTATCACGAACTGCATCACCTGTAAGACCTTTAGAGGCCGATTTCAATTTTCTGCTGTTCCTATCTGCAGAGTTTTCTTATCCTTTCCTATCTATTTATCTTCCTATCCACTTTCTGAATTCGTAATTGTTCAACTTGGGTTGTTGGTTTTCAAAAAAATGGTTGTTCGGGTCATCGTATTAAAAAAAACTCCCAAAACGCCCTTTTCTGTCGGCAAACAGAATGCTTATCTTGGTTTAGTTCAATAGCAATAAAGATGACTTTAATGTTGTTTAATGAATATTCATTGCTGATATATATTAGGTCGTTCCGAAAGTAATATCGCTTTTTTCAAACGTACGCCACATTTCATGGAACAAAGATATGTAAGAGATTCTGGTAGCATTTGATGCAGCATTTCATTCTCTTTCTAGTGGTTGTACAATTACAGCACAAAGTTGAATAACCTCTGGGAAAATTATCGGAATCTGCGACCCATGCTTTTTGAGAAAATCAACTTTCACAATTTTTCCAAATTTTCATAACAACCCCCGGAAGGAGTCCAAGTTATGTATGGATAGAGCAAACCCTACGGGAAACAGCACAAATTTTTTCTACTTTTCAGAGCTCG